CTGGAGCAGCCTCCGGATTAATCCCCTAAGCTGCTGTGGGCAGGGTTTCCATCAGGGTAGGGCAGAGCTGTGCGGAGAGTGGCAGGCATGCTGGGATGCTCTCTTGTGAGAGTGGCACCCCTGCCAGGTAGCTGCGTGCTGGCAGCGGCCTTTATGTCTGGCCTTGGTGGCTGTGTGCCGGGAGGAGATTCTGGGCGACTGCTGGGGGCAGGTTTGCTCTGGGCTGCTTGGCTGCCGCCTCCACGGGCTCACACGGGCCGCTCCCGGGCCCCTCGCTCAGCCGCCACTGTTGCCGGCTCATGTGCTATTGGGCCAGTGTGTTGGGGTCTGCGCCGGCCAGGGGAACAACTGGCTGACTGCTTATCACTGTGAGAGGCTTCACAGCTGCGCTGCCACCTAGGGGGTTTGGTCGCCTGGTGTTCCCCAGGATTCCCAGATGCTGGGCTGTGTGTGCCACAACGATTCCGTCCTGCTGTAAGGTCCCTGTCCGTTTAAGACTTTCTATAAGCTTCTTTTGCCCCAGGGGAGCCAGTTGCAGGGACCCACTCGCAGATTTTGCCCTTCCGTTTCTCTAATATCCAGAACACCATGCACCATGTGTCCGCACTCCTGGGGTGGATTACTAGAGCTGGTTGTTTAGTAGTCCTGGGCTTTCACTCCCTCCCCGCTCCAACTCCTTTCTTCTCACCAGGGAGGTGGGATGGGTGGAGTGCTCGGGTGTCTGCCGGGCTGCGGCTTGTATCTTACCCCCTTGGTGTGATGCTGAGTTCTTGCAGATGTAGGTGTAGCCTGGCTCTTGTACTGTATCCACTGGTCTCTCTTTTAGGAATAGTTGTATTTGCTGTATTCTCAAAAATATGTTTTTGGGAGGAGATTTCTGCAGAACTACTCACGCCGCCATCTTGGCTCCTCCTCCCAAATAACATTAATTTTAGGAAAGTTTTTATCTTGGTATCAGATACTATACATGAGTTCAGTATTTACCCACACCTAAAAAAATATTTCTTTTAAGAAAGGGACTTTTACCTAAAAAGATGGCTTAAGCTGTTCAATATGAGTGAATAGAGAGAAAAACTGGGGTCATGCTCACATTAAAAGGGCTATCCAAAAATAGCCTAACCCCTCTCACACTTCCTAGTGGCTTTACACAAGGTGAAGAGCAGACTAAGAAACACCTTGAGGTTTAGTGTGGAAGGGACAAGAATGAGGTTTGTCATATATTTATACAGATATATTTCTATATTTTGCTTTTAAGTGAATGTTCTGATATGAAATTTATAGACATACTAAATAAAAATTTACCTTTCTGCCAGGGGTTTCTGTATTCCCAGTTTGCAGAGATTTCCAATTAGTGACATGAATACATGTCGGGTTAAGAAAAACTACAAATTTGTTAAAAATATTAGTGGAGACAACTTTTCTAAACATATGAATATGGTGGGATTTACTCAACTTAAAGGAATTTGAAAGGAAATAGTTCATTTTCTGAGTGAGGCAATGGGATCTTATCAGTTGAACAATGGCAAAGGGCCCAAATACTGTATCTCATTAAATATTCTAAAAGCCACTTTGGCTTTGCTCACTGACAATAAAAGGACTGAGATTAGGAATTCTGACTGTGATCCTAGAGAAAGCCACTCAGGAGGAATGCTCAAATCCATGCCAATATGTTCTTATTTGCCATCTAAGCTCAAGAAGTTCTGTTCAAATCAGTGCTTTTCAAAGTGAGGTTATGACCCATTAATGGGCTGTAAATTCAATTTAGTAGGTTATAACCAGCATTAAAAAATAGAGAAGAATAAAACTATTAAAGTATATCATATATAGTAAGTATTATTTTGAAATGTTCAGTTTTATGTATTTGTTTTTATATAATAGGTTACAAAATAAAATGTATTTCTTCCTGTGGATAGTGGTAAAAAATTTAAAAAGCGACTGGTTTAAATTATGACCCCAAAGAAACATTTCAGAAAAATATTCCTTGTTCTTAGTGCTGCTCCCTTATTTTTGGAGGGTGGAGGAGTGGAAAGGTAAAAAGCTCCCAACTCAGGAATCACTAAAGTAGTATTTATACTTGAATTAGGAACATTTCCTCATAGGAGGGAGAGAAAAGTTATCAAGGAACACTTATGTAGATTGAATGCTTGTGTTGCCCTCAAATTCATATGCTGAAGCCCTAACTTCCAATGTGATGGTATTTGGAGCTTAGACATTTAAGAGGTAATAAAGGTTAAATGAATTCATAAGGGCAGGGCCCTAACCCGAAAGGGCTAGTGCCTTTTTAAGAACTGGAAGAGAATCCAGAGCTTGCACACTCTCTCTTCCTCACATGGAGGACACAGGAGAAAGTGGCCATCTGCAAGCCACGCAGAGAGCTGTCACCAGAACTTGACCATGCTGGCACTGTGATCTTGGACTTACAGCATCCAGGCTGTGAGAAAACCAATTTCAGATGCTTAAGCCACCCAGACCATGGTATTTTGTTATGGCAGCCAGAGCAGACTAGTAAAAACACTGAACTACTTCTAGCCATATTTAATCAAATCTGAACTCTGATTTTAACAGTTCTGAGATGAAAACCAGTTTCAGAGGAAAAAAAATCTAAGCCACCTCAGATCACATTTTAAATGATTTAAAACCTAATACAAAATGATAAAGAATGATACAAAATAGTTCAGCAACAGTTGTGGGTAGACAAAAGCTTATCATTTAACCTGAAACCACTATAATGTAGTAGCTTTATTATTACCTGTGTTGGATAAACACAGAGGGCAATGAGGCATTTAATTGAATGGCTTGAGAGGAACTTGGGCTTTGTAGATACTCCTAAGGTGGGAGAAAGCAACAGTGACTGGTTCTGTCTTGTGGCCTGGCATCAAGAGGTCTGCCTGGCTAGCTATGTGGAAGCCACCCAACTCTGGTACAGCAACATAAACCAGAGGTTTAATAGGTTTAGATTGTTACAAACATATCAGATACAAACACTGTAAATCCATTTTTGCATGAATGAGGTAGAACTGATGGGAAAAGTTGAGAGAGCAAGGAAATGGAAAAGTTAAGGCTCAGAGGATGGTATCTGAATTATGAATGAGAGGTACTTAAGAAAGCAATCTACGTGAATGTGTTAGTTTACACCACTTCAGCCACTAGTTCAACCAAATTAGAGATTACAAAAGGGATACTGCCAAATGAATTTACTTTGAAATAGAGGCTGGGAGTGGGTGGGGAGACTATTGCAATTTCTGTGGCTTTTTGGACTTCCTCAGAAGCATTCAATAAAATGCCTTTTCATAATAAAAGAAGTTGTTTCCCACAAAACACAAAAATTCCATTTTACCTAAAACGATTCAAAATGGATGGTGTTCAAGTTATCTTTACTTGCGTACATAACGTTTACTCTTTGAGACTGCTCTGTTAGGTATGCAGCACTAAAGCACAATATGATTTAGCATCTTAAAAAAGACTTAGGAGATTGACAAAAGTTTCCAAGAAAGGGTTGATGATGGGGATTTATAATAATCACTAAAGGTATGCCTTTTGCTGTATCAGGTAGGACTTCAGCAGTTTGAAAAATGAGATTTGAGGATTCCCTAGTGACTGACAATGTCCCTTTAATAAATACCTAGAAAGCACATGCTGTGAAATTTCATTCTAATGGGTCAAGTTTCATTAGTGCCATGGTCTCACCCACCCTAACCCAAAGTATATTTTAGTGTAAGCATCTTACATAATAAACTCCTGCCCCAGTGACTGCTACTCCTGCAATTAAGAAGTATACTAGGCTGCTGCCATCTTTCCCAGAAGCACCTGTAGACACTAGTGATCTAGAAGGGGATCCTAGGTGATGACACTGCACAACGGTAGGTAAAGATAAGGCCAAGAAAGAAACAAAAGGAAATAGAAAAGCACTAAGCATTAATGAAGAAACATTCAACAAAAAGGCAGGGAAGCATTTTCGGTTACCCTGTGCTAAAAAGGAGAGAAGTGCTGCTCCAGGTTGGAGGAAAATGTCTGTTTCTTTAGTCTATTATCAGACAGAGCTCACTTATTCCTTATTCCAATCTGACTCACAACTGGCAAAAACCATCTACTTTTTGGGGTGCATTTGGGAGTCATGTTAAGAAATGCAATCTATTTTCATGTTCCTTTTTTAAACCTAAGTGATCAAGGAACAAAGATAAGTTCACTGTCTTAGCAATGTAGAAAGGACTAAAACTGTAAAAGTGTCCAACCATTTGCCCTCAGTAAGTCAAAGTTGCCTTCAATCAAGTGTGTTACTAGGTGTTATCTAAGTTGTTTCACTCAACCTTACATGGTCCAACTTTAGACCGATCTGCTTAGTCATAGTAAACCCTGCTAAGTTAAAAAAAAAGCCTACAGAATAAATCCTCTGTGACCAACTAAGCTGACCAAAGTTCATTTAAGGAGATATAATTGTGTTAATACTACCTAGCATTTAAAACCATATTTCTCACCTTAAACAAACTCCATTCTAAAATTGGAGATACTAGGCCTACTTCCATAATTTAGTCTTTGGGTGAGATTCAGGGATGCTTAATATTTTGTATTGAAGGCTGTTGCTTTAAGGTCTATCCCAAGCTAAGGAAAAATACTTGACAAATGGGTCAAAATAAAATATTGTGCTAAGGAGCTGCAATGAGTATTAACCTTATTCACAGTTTAGTTACATGTCACATCCAAGAGAAAAGGTACAATTTTGTACATTAGTCAAATCTAAGAAAACATAGTGGCTTTCAAGTAAAGAGTAAAAAGACAAGTGAAAAGAGCAAAAATATTCAACATACGAGATTACATTTCAGTCATTCCCAAATTACGTCTCATAGGATGTTAGATAGTAGGCACTTTAAAGACAGCTTTTTGGAAATTTTTCCAAAAAGAGAAAGGAGAATTAGTTGCAAAAGTTTTAAAGCAGAGTAGTATTGAGTCGATTAGTGGGAGCTGTTTCGCAACTTCTTTACACAAGCTGCTTTTCTACTTACATATGCACCAGCTCCTATTGTTGATAAGCCCACAATAAGGACTAAGACAGAATTATCGATTTTGCCCCCTGATGCACCAGAGCTAGCCAGTTGTCTTGTCATCTGGAGTTCTAGAGGAATATGCCATCGCTGGAATAAGTTGCCTAAGGAACACAATTTATTAAGACACACACACACACACACAAAATAAATAAAAGTTAATACATATTTATGACTAAAGGTCAATGCATTGTACCAGTAAAGACTTACTGCCCACTGGGCCGTGTGATGATCACTGTTAAATGACCAAGAAAAAAGTCATAAAAACTATACACACAATACTACAGACACCAGAATGTACATTAAGTTGTTAAGAGTTTTTAAGAGTACAATTTAATGCTGCCTAGGGAGAAAATTTACAGCTTCCAGAAAAGATAATGAAAAATATACGGGTAGTTCAACAACTCCTTCTCTCTTCATATCTTAACCATGAATGAAGTAAACATGGAGAGATGACTAAACAGGTAGATATAAAAAGCTAAGTACAGGCTACCTGGGACGTTATAACCACCACTTAAGGAATAATCTAAATGGCTGGCTCATGCACAAAATAATAAAACCTTGCAATACAATTTAACCAGTACACAGTTTTGTCTTTCATGAAAGGTAATGTGCCCTGAAGGATGGAAATGTTAAAGCTCAGAAGAAATCAGGAAAAAAAAATCAAGTGAATTTATCTCCTCTAAAGAACTGTAAAATGTTGGATTATGAATTACTTTTTAGAATATTTTAAATAGCCAACTACTTGGTTCTTAGTCCTCCAAAACAATACGAAGATAATGTTCATGTAGAACTAACTGTACAGCTATTGAAAGGTCTGATGGCCGTAACAACTCTCACACACGGTAATCCAAGAGTTTCACAAATTTCTTTCTTCAGGAGGATGCTGGCATTTTCAGATGAAGGAAGGTCTCAGTACCTTCTCTCCTTTGTGTTGACTACTGACCAGGAGCAGGAAGTTGCAAACTTTTTCTGTGATAGGCCAGATAGTAAATATTCTCAGCTTTGCATGCCATGCAGTCTCTGCCGCAACTACTCAATTCTGCTGATGCTGTGCAAAGGCAGCCACAGGCCATGTATAAATGAATGGGCATGATTGTGCTCCAATAAAATTTTATTTATGGACACTGAAATGTGAATGTTAAATATTTTCATGTCATAAAATAGTTTATTTTTAAGTTTTCTCAGCTATTTAAAAAATGTAAGAACCAATCTTAGCTTGAGGGCCATACAAACACACAAGGGTTTGGCCTGTAGGCTATAATTTGCTGATCCTGATCTAGGGCAGTGGTTCTAAAACTTAGGCACTCGTAGGAATCCCCCAGAGGGTTTGTTAAACACAGATGGCCAGATCCACAGTCTGAGCTTCTGAGTCAGGAGATCTGGGATGGGACTCAAAAATATCTAACAAAGCTCCCAGGTGACACTGATGCTGCCAGTCTGTACTTTGAGAACCAACAGTCTAGAGGCAGGTGGAAATGTTCCAGGCCAGACCAGGCTTTAAAAGACAAACAGAATGGGCACTGGTAGTAGCATTATGTACTTGTAGAGATTAGATATAGGGAGTTTTTTCCCTTATAATTTCAGGGCACAGAAAGGTAAAAACACATCCAATACAGGTCTGCCGTCTCTTACCTGAAATCCTTGAGAACACGTGCATTCCAGAATTCAGGATTGTTTGGTCTTAAGTATATAGTGCATATACCATATAGCAAATAACACCCAGCACAGTAAGGGGCAGCAACCCAGTCACATACATTAATATTTTTTGACCAATCACACTGAGTGGGATGAACAAAAGATTATATAAGCAGCTTCTCTCCAGTTCAGGTCAGGTTTTACTGCAAATGAGTTACAAAAACTTGATTTTTACTCCTATTCTGATTTCTGAATTATATATAAGAGACTATGGACCTATGTTCTTTGAACTGGAAATGTATTTTTCATTACTATATTTAGTTTTCCTCTGCTTTAGAATCCTTCATTACCACACAAAATAAAATGGTTCATATTTGGAAATAACAAACCATGAAAATAAAAATGTGCAAGGGTGCAGAAGCTTCTCAATCTGGGCAATCTTGATTTTTAGGAGTCCCTAAAAATAATGATGCATTAGAAACTGACAACTCTCAGAGCTCAGAAAATTAAACTGGGGAGAAAAAGTTCTACATAGTTTAGCTCAACAAATTTAGTTTTCTCCCCCACCTTCACCCCAACTTTGTTTACTGAAAATATGTTTTTAAAAAAATTCTATTTATCCATCTAGAAGATCCAAAATCCAGATAACATAGCTTTGCTTTAATACAATACTAATGTGTTTATTCTGGTTTTGCTTGCTTTTCACAAACGGATAAAACAAAGAGTGTAGATTTGGAAAAGTTCAGCAGTTTTTGTCTCAATCTGCCAAAAATAAAGATATTTAAAAGTAAATTGATCATTAAGAAAGTAAATTTGATTACCAGGGTTGCGGTAGGTGTGGGGGTGGGGAGGGGAAGGGGGATAAAGGGCACAATAATTTGCAGTCACAATATAAGTTGGCCATGGGGATGGTAGTATAGTATGGAGAACATAGTAATTCTCTTACATCTTTCTACATTGATAAGATAGAAACCTCACTAGAGGGGGTGAGGATTTAATAATATGGGTAACAGTTGAACAACTATATTGTACATTTGAAACTAACATAAGATTGTATATCAATACTTTGATAAAAAAGTAATACACTGTTATCATTAACAAACCAAATTTTTACATACCTATAAAACGACTTTAATTTTGTAAAAGGTGATAAGTATTCTATGGATGTTTATATTACGCCCCCTCCCCGAATTTTCTTCTTTACATAAAATTATTCCCATGCCTCTTCTCCATCCCCATGGCTTCAAAATTTTAGGAAATCTTACATGACTCAAACATGCCTTTTCACTTGTCTTACAAACAAGAGAAAGCCAACTTCCTCTTTCTCATTATTGTATCAGTCTACCTGTTGTAGATTTTCTGCAGTCAGACCACACATAAAGAGGTAGTGCTTTCTTCCTCACACTTAGGATTCAATTCTTTTTTAAAAAATTTGATATGTTTACATATTACAATGATTGCCTATGTAGTAATATCTAGCACCTCTATCATGGTACATAATTACAATTTCTTTTTATTGTCTGGAAAAATTAAGACCAAGTCTCTTAGCAATCTAATGATTGTAATGAAATCTGTATTCACTATTCTGTGCAAGGACTTAATTCTTGAATTGTTACACAGAGCAACAGTGCCTAACACATAGCAGATGTTTGCCTCAATAAATATTTGTTGAATTAATGAAGGAAGGAAACAGAAATTCTTCCCAATTCTGATAAAGAGTGAACATTTTAAGGAATTCTTTGCAGAGCAGTTTTAACCAGATGTATTGCAGGTTGCTTAATAATACATTAGTAACTGTGAATACTACAGATTAGCATTAGAATAGTACCTAAATCAGCAAGTTCATTTCTGTAGATTTCGTAATTTGTTTTTCCATACACCCAGGAGGCCTTTTCCAGAAATACATCCACACAACTGAGGCACCTAGTTAATCTCCACTGGTTAAAAGGTCTATATACTCTTGCATCTTCTTTTCTGAATGTCAAACTGATTTTTCTGTCATGGATAAAGCACAAGACAGAACAAGCCTACATGATCTGTCCACTGTAGCTAGGCACTTTTTAAAAAGGAATACAACAACTATTTACCTTTATCAGCCTCTTTTTTTTAAGCATCAACCCTTCCTGGAATTTTAGGAGGATCAGAATAGTAATAACTATAGTACAGCATGAACCACTCTGAAGAAAAGCACCAGAGGAAAAATTTAGATGACAAAAAAAGAAATCTAACTCTGTTCTGCAAAGTTGTCTTTCCTAGTACTAGGATTCAGTCATTGAGAATTTACCATGCCAGAGACTGTACAAAATGCTGCTGACACAAAAGTAAACAGGACACAATCCCTGTCGTCATGTACTATATAGTTTAGGAGGGGAGAATAGCTGATACCGTTCAATTAGAAAATGGGCCTGATATACATTACAAGGGGCTCAAGGTTGCTCAATCTGGCTTTTAATCTTTAGGTCAGTGGAACACAAAGGGCCATTATTCATTCAAAAAGGTATTTCTAAAACTTGCCTGCTCATATGAATTATGTAAAGGGTAAAACATAAATGCTAAAATAAAATTGCCAGGGATCTCTCCTGAAGATTGTCATTTAGTAGGTCTGTGGTGGACCCATCACTCGATTTAGGATCAGGCAACTTTGGACACCATGATCTAGAAGAAAGCTACAATATGCAGCAATTCCTTTAAACATTACGGAATGTCTAGAAAATATAACATATTAACTGGTGCAGAAAAGGCTGACTTGCCAAAGGTTTTCTTCTGGAAGCTCTGTCTGAGTGGAAAGAGTGTGGAAAGGCTCATTTTCTAGGCTTCAAAAAAAAAGTGTCATTTGGCACTGCCCAGGAAGTCTGGATCCTTGCCACAAGGAGTCCACTTTCCTTTTTAAGAAGGTGAGGATTCTGAATAGAGAAAAACGTTAAAAAAATCTGACCCTTAGGTCAGGGGTTGGTGATTAGTTTGATCACATGGGCAGCACAATGTTTGGTGACCAATCAAATACTACAGAACAGAAAATATTACCTAGTCTATCTGCTCCTCACTGCTGAATGCAGACATAAAGCGGTGACTGTTAATTACCTTCAATCACTTCTGGAAGAGGCAGAGCACCCAAATAAAGTAAATACAAATCATAGGAATTATAGTTTTAAGGAAAAAGGCAATATAATGGAAATGAACCTGGCAAAGGTAACAGATGTGGATGAGATCATTTCAAGGTAGGTTTAAAGTTTGCTAATATCCTGGCAAAGAACTGGGGGACAGGAAGGGGTAAAAACAAGCAGGAAATGGCATAAAAACAAACAATGCATCTTTCCCATCTATGCAAAAACATATGGTGGATGCCACCAAGTGAAAAGAGATTAGAGTAAAGGCAATTAGTAATCAAGCCACAAAACAGGGTTAATCCCTAAAGCGACAGAATCCCTTTTTTTTTAAATCTTGTTAACCCACTCCCACCCATTTCTCAAGGCATATGACGTTACACTATGGAGCTTGGCCAAAAAACAAGAGTAAGTGTATACAAAGAGATGAATGGTTATGTCAAGATGTCAAAATACAGTCTACAACAGACGGCCTTCAAATAAAGCCTTAAAAAATTTTTGAGTCTGTATTTTTCAGTACTAATAATGGCCTAATAAATTAATTTAATTTTTCAAATTTATATTTAATTGATTAGAACTTCTGGTCAGACTTTAGAATGCTAGTAAAAGTTGTGAATTTTGAGCAACGTAAGTACACAAAGTTTGAAAGGCTAGTGTGGATGAAAATCTTCAGCTTACCTAAGTTTCTGTGTAAATTTCTGTGCAACTTGCACAGAGTATCATTATTTCAATGCACAAAACCCATACAGATGACATCAGAGACGGGGTATTAGTTTAAAATCAAAGGCAGAGGGTTTTCAATTCTAAGAGTAGTATGTCTTAGGACATACCTCAGAAACACTCATTGGAAACATCTTCTTGAGACATAGCGACTGGAAAAACTGTTCAAATGAACAACTGCCAAGACTCTAACAATCTAAGGGACATATTTTCCACTTTTTATTTTAAAGCACCCAGAAGGTGGTTCCACATTGGAAAGGCCTCAAGGATAATTTCTAATACTGCAAATGTGAATACCCCAGGGCAGTCATTCCAAGATTGATTTAAAAAACAAAGAAACAAATAAAAAAATCAAACAGCACTTCCTACAGGTAGATAATTAAATAACCCCATGAAGTTATGCAGGTTGAAAATGAGGAGGCTCAAAACATGCTCAGATAAATTCATGGATATCTGATGCACAGTGGGCTAAAGGGATCCCACGTTCGTTCGTAACCTTTTGAGGTCAAACTTTGGGGAGCCGTGTGGAGTTATGGCAAGGGAGATTAGGGGCCTAAAGACTGGCAACCTATCCTTTGCTCTACCAATTAATCAGGTAGGTGACCTTGGGCAAGTAATTTCACCTCTCTGTGCTGCATTTATTATCTACAAAATAAGTGGGTTGAATTTTACAACAAAAATCCCTTCCAGTTTTAAAATTTGGAGAAACAACTTCATGGAGGGCAAATACAATGTATTCTGCAAACCGTTTCTTTGAAGAATTAAAGATCCCCACGAATTACAGTGGCCAGTCATCTCAAATTAATTCTGGACCAGTTCTTCTGGTGCCTGGCACATAACTGACCGACTCTTTATTTGCACTGCACTATTTCTGCTTCACATTGGCACTCAAATCTATGGATCTTATCTGGGGTATGGAAGGTAGGGCAGGTAATATCCTCATTTACAGAAAGAAAAGGCATAGAGCTTAAATGTTCTGTTTAAAGTCTCACGATTGGTAAATGACAAAGTCTGGTTGACCTCATTGCTCTAAAAAGGTGGACTGCGGGTGGGGGTTGACATTAGACAATCCGAAACAGCCAGCTGTTATGTTATCCCTGAACAGCAAGCCCTCCCCGGAAAAGGCCTTAAGCCAACTACTGGGTTCAATTCCCTTGAAGGTCAGGTCGGCATGGCTTATGAAACTCATGGTTTGGATTCCGCCAATTCGGAATTTACGCGGCTGTGTGTGAAGTTTTTCCCGGAGTGAGGAGCAGGGGGGTGGGCTGTGAGGCACAGGGGGCCCATGGAACCTCGGCCCTTGGTCTTTAAGGTGGGGGTTGCCCGGGATGGGTAAGTCACCTGGGAGCCGGTTCCTCTGCCTCGGGCCTCGGACGCACACTGTCCGCACCAAGGGCGCCAGCTTCTGCCACAAAGCACCCGCTGCCAGGCCTCCACACCGGAACATCTTGGCAACCGCTACTCTGGGCCTCCTCCTCCTTTCCTTTCTTCTTACGCACAGATCGACAGGTCAAAACCGTGGGCCCTGGCCAGTGCGCGCCCCCCGCCCCTCCGCTAGCTCTCTTCACACGCACTGCACGCAAGCTCCTCCTCTCAGCTCCGGGTGGACATTGGACAGTTAAGCCGGCCTGCTAGGGTCGGGGAAGGGGAAGCGCGGCTGGAGGCCTACTGCGCAGGCGCAGTACTCAATGCCGCTTTGCGATTGGGCCGCACCGGAGATTTGCGCATGCACCTAGCTGCCCCCACGCTTGGAAAAGCCCTGACCGGAGCGGCTGCCCAGTTTCCGCGGGATGGTGGCAGTGGCGGGACGGAGTGGTGGACTCAGGGTGTTTGGACAGCTGTCCAAGGAAGCATCCGTGGGGCGACTTTGCCTGGCGGTTGTGGCTAGTGCTGCCTATGGGTCGGTGGCGGGAACTAATAACAGCACCTCACAAAGCGTGGCCCCAGCACCGCTTTTTTTGTTGTTTTAGGCCACCGCTAGGAACTAAGCCTTCGGATGCTCTGACTGTTGTCTACTTCCAGTCTTTCTATAGGTCCGAACCGTGGCACCTGTTTTCCCAGATTCGGAGTAGCTTCCGTCTTTTACTACTTGGCTGGCAGTTTCCCACCCAACCCCTGTTTCCGGGACAAGTAGTCATTACGCACTTCTTTTCCCGCTTCGCTTTTATAGGGTGCAATTCTGCGCCTTAGATGCTGCCAGGTGCCGCAGATAGTCCCCTGCTTATTATGGCTTCCGTGCTTGAGAGCAGGATGGTGGCAAAAAGAGTTCGTGCTTTGCAAACTTTCTATGAGAAATTCTAAACAGGAATTTCAGAGGTGGAGGAATAGGGAGAGGAGCAGAGTGTAAATAGGTGTTTCGACTCTACATGTAAAATGTAAGCTAAATTGGAAAGAAAGTTTTGGCTGTATGCAAAACATAACATACTCCTTTTTCAAAGTTTTGGGTTATATATTCATTTAACAAGTATATTGAGCATTTGCCACTTGGCCTGTACTATGAAGGGGGCTCTGGAGGAATATAAAAGGTATAGGAAGTGATAACTGTCTAGTTGAGGAGATGACAATACCCTGGTCATTTAAATAATAATAGCTGATACAGTGCAGCAGCAGGAGAAAAGAGTATAGGATGGAATAGCTAAGGAAACTTAATGCAAGAGGTGTTACTTGAGCTGTGTCTTGAGGGATGAGTAGTAAAATTTAAATAGACAGTGGAGAAGGAGGAGTGATATTTTAGATGGGAATACATTGGGACCACAGGTAATATTTTTAGTGATTAAGCACCGTGGACTTGGCATCCAGTCTGCCCTAGGTTGAATTCTGGCTCTGCCCCTTGGACAAGTCACTTAACTGTGCCTCACTTACCTCATCTACCAATCTCACTGGGTTGTTATGAAGATTAACTGGGCTAATACTTGTAAAGTATCTTAGAGGAAGCTCTATGCTGTTTTAATTAAAAGGATTGGAGGTATAAAACAAACTCTAGCACACTTTCAGGGGACAATGGCAGAGAGTACATACTAGGAAGTAGGTATGACAGGCTACTATGGCGGGGCCAGATTTGAACTGGCAAAAGAGTTTGCCCTAATCGTGTAGGTGATGAAGTTATTATTTTTTCAGTGGAATAGGGCTACAGAATGAAATTACAAAGGCATTGTTTTAGGAAGTTTAACTCAAGAAGCAGTCTTTATCTGGTGAAAATGATTCAGTGTTCCCTTACTCATTAAGAATAATGTTCAAAAGTGCAGGCAGTGGGTGACTTTATTACCTAGGGCTGTTTTAGGGATACATATTGAAAGTAATTCTACAATAAGGTGAAAATTATTTATATTTATTTTATATTTTAAAGGCCTTACATTGATATTTATTGCTATTTCTAAAAACCTGTAATAAACATGGATTGACTAACTACAAAGTTAATCATATCTGTTGGTAAGAAGCTATGGAAAACTCAAAATCTTGATGACCAGGTACCTATAAAAACAACTGAATATATTTGAAAGAGAGTCATTTCATGATGCACAATTAACACAAAGAAAAGGCATTATACAGCACATTTATTTTTGCAATAGGTGCAATGAGGTACTTTTCTTGTCTTTTTAATTAAAAATCTTTTTTTGTGTGTGAAAGTAATAAATACACAATGAACTAACTCCAAAAAAATAAGTGGAAGTTCCCCAAAATCTCACCCCACAGAGGTAACAAATACTTTTTATTAGGGCATGGAGCCAATTTTGAGATACCACATTTATAGGAATCAATTTTCTACCTTACAAATGTAATTGAATGATCGGATTCAATGACAAGTTTTTGGAAGCATGCATCTAGATAATCTTATGTGGATGTAATATTTTTTATATCTCTCAAAGTTAGCATTAATTCTGGCTCTGAGTTGGTAAAGCTTATTTGCATTCTACCTACTGGATATGTCTAATTAAGTTACCACCCCTCCTGTAGATAAGGACCACTAGGAGCATTCGCTGCTAATACGGAAGAAAATGAGGCAGCAAACTATTACCTAGATATCAGCCAATCAAAAAAACAAAATATGTACATTGATGATTGCTATTCACACTGTACAATAATTGGTATTCATAATAATGACCTTGGATTAGCCAACTAAGATTAAATCCTTCCTGAGATGGTTTTAATGTTGAATAGTATAACCTAGGGTTTTAGAAATGAGTGACCCACATTTATGCTAAAAAATTTAGCTATAAATAAATATATCTGGTAACTCAACTAAAAAGCTTATTAACTAGAAGACCCAGTTTTCCTAGCCGTTTTGAGTAACTGGACTTGGCTGAACAGTCACATTCCTATTTGATTACAGATTTATCACTGATGCAGTGAATTGTCTTTCTCATAGTGGGAGTGGATTTAGTCACGTTTGTCTCTTCTGCAGCTCAGCCTCATGCACAAATAAGATGGAAGCTCACGTGTGCTGCTAGAATCCCTGGCTTTTACTAGAAATTAACTCATATGTCGGTGCTGTTGGCATATGTCACTATTACCTTAACCTATGAAATAAGTGTGTGTAGCGGGGTAAAGTCTAAAAGCAAACATAAAACGGGTATATTTTGTTACATGTAAGTTGTACCTCAGTAAAGTTGATTTCAAACAAATTTTGAACCTGCAAATCACTTTTGGGAGAGAGAATACTAGTCTTGCCTAAGATATTTGATGCTTAGTAAGCTTTGGGAGCTGCCCCCCTAATACCGTAAGAAAGTTCTGTTCATTTATCATCTTCCAAGCATAATCTAGGCTTCTGGCAAATTAGACCCAACCACTTTGTTCTACATTCAGTTGCAGAGGGGTGAGCCCTACTAGGGGTTTCCAATTCCTTCAGAAACTTCACAATTCTGTAAGGACGCATGATTATATGGAGGACTGAAGAATGCAGGACACTGTGAGGTTTATGCCATGTCCCAAGATCCCTCCACCTGGGCTTGCAGTAGTTAACCCCTAAACAAACCTCCCTTTTGCTGGAGCTGCCGCCACTAGCTTCCCCCCTTCTCCTACCCACTATATGGCCCTCTCCAGCTGCGGACCTTCCCCATTGGCCAGCCGAACACAAACGACTGCGACAGCCAATGGGAACCGCTCTCCTGAACATTCAGAGGATGGGTGCTCGTGGTGTGATGAGGAAAGGTTAGCGCCTGGCACGCGCCCCCCCTACATCTGGCAAGTCTGTGACAGAAACAGTAACTCCCCCTATACACACACACACACACCCGTGCCCCCTGCCTCCGTCCGTTCAGCTGCGCGGGCCCCGCAACCCGCGGCGTGTCTTGGCAGTGCCCTCCCGGGCCCCTTGGGGCGCGCGAGTGCACCTGCTCACTCAGTAAGACAGAACGTCCCTTGATTCCGCGGAGGCGCGGCTCAGCTGCCGCTGCTCGGGAGGTGACCGGTTTCCCCGCCCCCACCCCACCCCACGCCGAGTGGTGCTGCTCCGAGGCCGAAGTGCTCCAGAGCCGGCTTAGGGTGCAGCTCTCTTTGTCCCCAGCCAGCTGTGCTCCCTGCCGGCTGACTCGACGCGCTCCCAGGAAGTGGGGGTGGGGAGCCCGAAACCTATGAAATAAATGGGGGCGTGAGGACAGGAAGACAACCCCGGGTGGTGTGTGCGGGTGTCTTCACGCCCTCCCTTTCTTCCTTAGGCGGGGTCCCTGGGGTCCAGGCAAGGGAGGGTCTAGGCACAGGCGCGGCGGCGGCGGCGGGCTGGGGAGAGCCGGGTCCCAGCGAACGCACTGGCCGACCGAGAAGCCTCGCGCCCGGCCCGCTGCCCTCCATCTCTCCTCTCCTCCCTGGCTTTTGTGTTGGTGCCTCGGAGCTGCAAGGAGGGTGCGCTGGAGGAGGGGGGCCTGGGGTAGAGGCTCCCCTCCACGCGCGCGCGCACACGGTGGCGGCGCACGCACACACGCGCGGACATACACACACGCACAAAGCTTGCTTGCCTCGAGCGCACTAACGTGGCTGTTTTCTTTGTGTGGAGCCCTTGAGGGGGGTTGGGGTCCCGGTCCGGTCCTGGGGAGATGGCGCAGCCCATCCTGGGCCCTGGAAGCCTGCAGCCCGCCTCGCCCGCTGGCCTGGCATCCCTGGAGCTCGACTCGTCGCTGGACCAGTACGTGCAGATTCGCATCTTCAAAATCATCGTGATTGGGGACTCCAACGTGGGCAAGACGTGCCTGACTTTCCGCTTCTGCGGAGGGACCTTCCCCGACAAGACCGAGGCCACCATCGGTGTGGACTTCAGGGAGAAGACGGTGGAAATCGAGGGCGAGAAGATCAAGGTGATCCAGACGGTCAGGTCTGGGAAGGGAGGGATCAGGGAGGGGGCCTCGCTGGAGGCAGGGCTCTTATGGTTGTAAAGTCCAGCGCGTGGCCCTGTGGCCTTGCTGAGCTCAAGAACCTCAGCACCTGCTCATCCCCTTTGACTCTCAGTGGCCTGGTTCCCTCCTCACCGGTGTTTTAGAGCAGGTGATGGTCATTGCATTCTTGCCCTTGGCTCCTGCCTGACAGCTCCTGCCAGGAAAAGCATGTTTGATTCCATCCTTGACCCTGAGCCAGAAGCAGTAGCACCTGTGGGCAGAGGGAGGTATGAGGCATTTCTTGGTCCTGGTCTGTGGGAGGGATCCCAAAGCACTTTCCACATCTTGAGGTCCCTTCTACTTCTTGGGTGCCAGTAGGCTGCAGAAACCCACTTTGGCTAAGCCCAGAGGCATTAGAAGGGAGGAAAGGATGGCAATACATAGGGAATGAAAGTCGCCTTATTTTAAATTACACTTTAGGGTTCAGATTAGGACTGAGTTGGAGTCGGGGTGAAGTGGGACGGTTCTGGCACAAAGCCATGAGTCCTTTTAAAGAAACTGAGACAGGGTCACCTGCCAACCCTTCACAGCAGAGAAAACTTGTTCTTTGGAACAATATTCCTCAAATGGTATCTTCTTTACCTGTCTGAGGTACCTAATGAATGAACTGTCCATTACTCATTCCGTTGGTATTGTCTTCAGCAGGCCTTTGTAAAAATGCAGAGCAATTTATCTGAGGACCAAGGGAAGGAGAGGACATGGCAAGGGCAGCTTTCTCTGTCAGGAGAGCAGAGCTGGCCAGGGTTATGGGCAGGGAGTCACCTTAAAAGGCACTAGGCAGTAAAGACCAGTTCCACTAGACCCACAGCTGGCCGTTCCTTGAGCCTATGGTCAGACCCTGTCAGGTAAAAGCCAACCTTCCTCCTGCTGGTCAAACACTCCAGATCACCACGGGGCCCTCTCCTGAGTGATGTGGAGAGAAGGGCTGGGTAACTGGGAAGAATGATGAAACACTCTAAACTGTGCAAGACTCTGGACTCATTGATTATTAAAATGAATATGTTTTCAAATGGCTTCAGAAACTGGGCCAAGGCACTAGATGTCAGGAAGATGGGCAGCTCAGTACCAGTAAGGGAGAGCTCTCCAGAACAACTGAACCCGAGGGTCAGGAAGATAGGGCACTGATTTGAAATAATGATCTTTTTCACCCCTTGTGTTTTGGAGAGAATTACCACCTTTCCTTTTTCAAGTCGAGTAAGTATCTGTCTCTATCCTTTCCTAGGGCTCTTATGTTGCCATGTACTTGGTTAGGACTTTCTCTAGTGTGTCTAATTTCTTTAATGTAAGATTGTAAGATTCTGGAATTTCTAAAACATGCCTTTTAAAATATCAAGTAGAAATATACTATGGATATGCTCTTAAACCCTCAAAAACCTTAAAATGTAATGCTATCACTTGTTTAAAATCTAATGTCACATTGAACCAAGGAGTGCTTTGGAAGAGAGGAAGTACAGGAGAAGTAAGTCCATCTGAAATTCAGAAGGAGAAAAAAAGTTGTGTTTGGGAGTCTAGCAGAAGAGGGAGGAAGGAGAGCAAGGGGAGAGGGGAGGAGGAAGCTAGAACATGGGAAATGGGAAGTGAAAACAAATGGAAGGGGGTCACCACCCAATGGCCTTGGAGAAATTTTTAAAAGATTTCTTCCCTTCTAACACCCCAGTGCTTAGCTAAACTGGATTCTACTGTCTCTGCCAGAGATTCCCATACTTTTTCCCAGAGGGCAGAGCCTGTGACAGTGTGACTCACTAGAAAGAGAGCTCAGCACAACACCATGTGCTGATAAGTGCTCAATACAGGCTTTTCTGGGAAGGTGGTATTTTCAAGAGGGCAAAGCCTTGTGACACTGCTTACAGAGGAGCCCTTTGAGTGAGGATGCTCAAGGGGCTTAGAGTGGGGTGTGGGAGTGGGGAGATGGTGGCTCTTCCTCTGGAAAGCTGCTGCTACTTCAGGGCCGAAGCCAGCAGGTGAGACCAGCATGTCCATGGGAAGATGGCAGAGCATGGCCGCTAGCACAAGATCCAGAGAGGAGGAGCTTTTGCCCTGCACTCCAGCTGGCCTGGAGTTTCTCAAGGAACAAATGCTAAAACTACACTAGGAGGTGACTGCCAAAGGCTTTTCCTTTTAGGGGAGAGAGAAAAGTCCAGTGTGACAGGCTCAGGTGGCCCCAGACCACAGCCAGTAATGGAAGGCTGTCAGGCTCTAAAATGCCAGCCCTCTCAAGAGAGAGGTGGGGAAATCTTTTCTCCCAGTCCAAGAGTAGGGTGTGGCCTCTCCTGGGCTGCCTCCCTGTGTCCCAGGGTAGCACATATGTCTACCCCAGCAGGGGGGTGACTGATTTGGTGTTTTGGGGGCTCTTCTCTTAATTATCAGGTCCTCCATAGGGCTTTGAAGCCTCACTGGCTGTTTGCAGTCAATGCATCCCAGCTCTTTCCCCATGGCAGCATTTATAATCCAGCATTTCCTGGTTAACATAAACATCAAGAAAAGCCTCCAATGAGTGGGCAATAATAATAATAACACTTCTATTTATCTAATAAACCCAGAGCCCAGGCTAGGTACTTCACTTGTACTATGTTACTGATCTTCACAGCAGCCCTAAGAAATTAGGACTATTATTATCAATCCTGTTTTATAGATAAGGAGACCAAAATTAGAGAGATTAAATAAAGTACCCAAAGGCACATGGCTCACCATCTCACTAGCCTGCCTGCCCTGCAACAGGGCCAGGATTTCAACCTAGATTCAGAGCCCATGCTCTTTACCATTGCCCTCTATTCCGGGGAGCAATATCTGGCCTGGGGGCCGATGACATGCTGGGCAGCCAGCCTTGGGCCAGGGGCCCAGGTTTACAGCCCTAGGACCCAGGAGTCTTCAAGATGTCTCCTTCAACTGTACCCCAGATGCTGAGCTGAGTAACTGAGTTTTACTTTTTGCCCCTTGACTGTCTCACCTTCCATGTGAGAGTAAAACAGTGTTCCAAGATGAAAGAGACCTTAGAGAGTTTCTGATCCAACATCCTCATCTAACAGATAGGAAACTGAGGCTGAGAGAGGGAAAGTGACTTGCCCAAGATCACACGGGGCCAGGCCTACAACTCAGGTGTCCTAATTCCCTTTCCAGTGCTCTTTCCATATAAATCCCCATTCTGGGCTAGTCGCATGGTCCACCAACCCATGCAGTTACCTGTGACAGGGACGTGGAGGGACATCATATGGGAAAGCTGACAGTCCTTCCTGGTATCAATCTAGGAAGGGGGGAGGTGTCCCCCAGCCCCCAAAGGAACTGTGGAGCTTCCCTCAATGACCATAATGTGTCTGTCTCCTACAGGTTTAGCTAAATCATATTGAGCCTGTCTCAGTCTAAAACCACTGGAAAATGCCAAATACGAGTGTGTGTGGTGGGGGTGAGGGTGGGGGGAGGCTGTAGAGGGAGGTTCAGAACCAGTTTTTGAGCCATTTATAAATGATCATGCAAGCACCCCCTCCTGCCTGTTGTGGTTCTTTCCACAGGCTGGGCCCTCCCTCTGCCCCAGCTCTGTGGACCATGGCAAACTGCAGGTCAGCCATGGCTGTGGGCAGGTGCTGCCCAGGACTGTGAAATTCTCTTCCTCTGCTGATCATGTGGAAAAACACCTTCCTGTGTTACATTATCTAGTGGACGGAGGCTGAGCTAAGTGTTCCCTCAGAAGCTGCCTGCAGTCAGAATGACATCATGTCTTCCTTAGAGCTGCTGAGCCTCCAACTTCTGCCAGTTAGCTTCATGGTTAATTATCCATCAGTGTGTGTTTCTCTGTCTGCTTTGCTGCCTCTCGTTCTGTGCATGACTTTCTCTTTGTCTCCTTCCTCCTTTGCCATTCTCTACATCAGTCTTGTGTGTGAATGTGTATCTTAGATGCAGATGGGACAGTCCAGCTAGTTGAAAAAAGAATTATTTTGGACTTTTCCCATCATCCACTTGGGCATCCTCTGAAGGTCACAGATGTATTCGTCTCCTTTTCCCACTTCTGCCCTCCCCCACCAGCCTCCAGCAGAAGGACATTAGTGCCTCATCTATAGGAAGAGGCTAGATATGTTCCCTCAGGAATAGAAATACCCCTGTCAGCTAAGAGCACGTGCAGAGGGCTTGCTCAGCAGCAGCCACAGGAAAATGGTTAAAAAGGCTAGCTTTATCTTTGGCAGCTCCCCATGCTGTTTCCCTGTATCCTAGCGTAGAATCCCCATCTGTTTGGATGTGCCCCCAGGCTCTCACGGCCTGTTGCTGGCATTCCCCGCTCCTCTGCCCTCTCCTTTGCTCTGGCTCTGTCTCATGGTCAAGAAGCCAAGCTTTCTATGCTTTCCAGGATGAGAAGCATCCCATCCAAAGGGCAGTGCTACCAGGAGAGGGCTTGATGGGCCTTCTGAGACAATGACAACAGCTAATATTTGCAGAGCACTTTGTATTTTCCAAAATCTCTTTCTGCTGTGTTTTTTCATTTTCCTAGTCATTTACTCAGCTACTAAGCACAGGAGTTAGAACCCAGGTCTCCCAATCCCACAGCTATTGCTGCATTTCCAACAGCACCTGCTCACTTAGTTGTCAGGTCTGACTTGATAGTGGAGGTTTTGGGCCAGGAAGGAGTAGGGAGTGTGTACTAGGCACAGTGTCATGTACTTTCAGGGAATGCTGATCTTCACAGCATCCCTACAAAATTGCTGTGAATATCCTGTTTCCTGAGGAGGACACTGAACACAGAGTAAATAACTTGCCTGAGGACACCTAACTAGTAGTACATGATTGGGCCAAGATCTGCACCCAAGTTGATTTGACTCCATTAGCTCCATTGGTCTTTGGAGAAAAAAGAGGATCTGGGCAGCATGTATGTGACTATGGGGCTGTTGTCACCCCTGACTACCATGTGCACACAGGAAAGGAAGAATAGACGAGAGGAGCACCAGCCACAAACAGGAAAGGAGGTGCTTTCACAGTGTGGCAGGAGCCAGGGGTTATGGGATGTTAAGGGCAGGGACACCAAACCCCTCAAACAAAATAAGATCATTTATGTGTTGAGTCAGCTTGGCTGCTGGGCTCTCCCTTTGTGATGGCTCTAAGGCCATACCATTGGTTCTTCTGATTTTCTGCTGTGAGTAGCAAGCGTCCTGGCTCACCTCTCACCACAGACAGGGATGCAAAGAACTTAGGGTGGGGTTTATAAAGAGCTGGAATGGGAGCAGGTCCTACAGTTGAAATTCCGAGTCTCCTAATAAAAGCTTCAAGGCACTGGGAAAGGCACAGGAGATCTCCAACAGAGAGGGCCCTCCCTGCAGTTCCAGCAGCTTGTGTGGCTTTCATACACAAGTCCAAAGCCAAGGAAAAGCCAAACAGCCTACTCAGCCCCAAACACCTCACACACTCCCACCCGTGTTCCTGCTAGTGGCAGGTATTTTTAGAGTCCTGAGCTCATGGTGTGAAAGCATCTGCCACATGCCTGAGGGCTGGTAGGGATTCAGCCTGACTCATACGCAAGACTTAGGACAACTGGAGAGTGGGGGTGGGAATTGGGAGCCAAGTGGTAATGATACACCTGCTCTCTTCCCGCTGACCTGCATTCCTTTTCTGGCCTGCGTTTCCTTGCGTCTGCTCACAGCAGAAGAGAACAGAGAAATGGAAGAAATAAATATATTGCTGCTTGCTAAAGCAAAGCATTTTTCAAGGACTTACATTTTCCTTTGTAACCTTGGCCAATACCTAGGATGTCAGGTGCCCTGTAGTTTGGGTGGCCCAGGCCAGTACTGCTTTTTAATGATGATGTTGATGAAAACAACCATGAGGCCGAGTGGCCTAATGCAGAAAAAGACTGCTAACAGTTTAGTGGGAGAGAAGCCAAGAGCACTGATGTAACAACCAGAGAACAAAAAAATATATTCTAAATGATGTGGTACAGATTCAAAGTTCAGTCAAGATTCCTAAGAGAAGAGAATTGAAGAGAAGTTGGAGAAGGTTTCAGGAAGAAGGTAGAGGTGTGAGATGAGCCTTAAAGAATGGGTGAGATTTGGATAGGGCAGTGAAGGGGCAACCAGTTCTGTAGGGGAAGGATGGACTAGCAGGACCTAATGTACAGAGGAGGGAATGAGCAAGTTGTAGCCGAGTAGTTTGAACCAGGTTGAGTGGGGTCAAATGACGGCAGACAGAAATTTTTCCATTTGATGCCACATGCATCATAATTTCCTGAAGAGGAGGGTGACATACCGATACAAGCAGGGATTCAGGAAGGCTACTTTGAAAGCAGGAAGCACTGGAGTGGAGACATCTAGAATCCAAAAGACTGCTGTAGTCCAGGAGAAAGCAGAAGAGGGTTTGGCCTAAGGGTATGAAAATCAAAATAGAAAAAGCGAATCTGACGGTCTTGCCAAAGGAATGTGGTGGCCATATTGATAGAAGAGATGTAACAATGAAAACTGACATTCAGAATGATGACTCTGGGGCCCTATAAGATCTTCATTCAGCAAAAAGAGATTCAATTATGTTCATTAAATTATACCTACTGACTGCTAACTCCAAATAAAAGCCATACTTTAAGAACCATAGTAGTCAATTAGTGGGCATAATTAAGTTTTCTTTGGTAACAGAATTGTATGGGGACTTGGGACCATCTTTCTGCAAATTAATTTCTCTTGTCCAAAACTTTGGATATATAAAGGGAAATAGATTGGACCGAATGTGTGTTGACTCCAGAATATCCCTTAGCAGTTGTGTTTTTGTACATATTACCGATAGCAGCATTTTCCCTTCATAATTTGGCCTTTATCCCAAAAGCTGAGGTGCAGAAGAAAAATCCAGTGAGCTAAATTACCTTTTACATAACAAAGAACTGAACTTAAAATAAATTGAGCTTTTTAAAAACACTGTCTTTATTTAAAAGTCATGCAAAATAAAACCCCAAAGTGATATAAGCTTAGAGTAGAAAAATTTGAAGAAACAAAAAAATAGAAGGAAAGAAATATCACCTATAGTCCCACTGCCCAAAAATAACCATCAGTGTGCTAGTGTGTACACTTCCAGTCTTTCCCATGCATGTGTCTATGCTTACTTTTTTTAAAGAATTGGGACCAGAGCATATGAATATAAGCTTAGAGTAGAAAAATTTGAAGAAACAAAAAAATAGAAGGAAAGAAATATCACCTATAGTCCCACTGCCCAAAAATAACCATCAGTGTGCTAGTGTGTACACTTCCAGTCTTTCCCATGCATGTGTCTATGCTTAATTTTTTTAAAGAATTGGGACCAGAGCATATGAAAAATTTTGTATCCTACTTTTTAAATATTTTTTGAGCATTTCTACCACTATTCTTCGAAAACATTATTTTTAATGACTGCATAAAAGCCCATTGTATAACTATATGTATACACTTTAGTTATTCCTCTTCTAGCAAGCATGTGGGTAATTTCCTGTTTTTAAAAATGTATAAACAACACTGCAATTAAGATCATTGTACAGAATTTTGTCCACATCTCTGCTATGTCTTTTGTATAGATTTCTGGAAGTGGGATTGATTATAAGCTTTTGAACACTTATCATTATAGGCTCAAAGAATTTTTCACATTTGATAATATTGCCAAATTGCCCTCCAGAAACGATTAATTTATATTCCACTTTTTCAACCAAAAACCTTGAGATTTTTCAACTCAAGATTTTCCACTAAAATTCTTAAGAAAAACTTTATAAATCTTGAAAGAAATTTCTCTCTGTATTTTGATAAATCTATTCTGCCAATCTGTCAAAGAACCACTTCCTGTGTCAGGGCTTGTCACCTCATTTTTATAATGCCATAGAACCATGTTTTCACCTATCCATTCGTGTTTCCTTTTCTGACTCCAAATATGGGTTTTTGTATCTTCCAGGTTCAGGTGTGGGATACAGCAGGTCAGGAACGCTTCCGCAAAAGCATGGTCGAGCATTACTACCGCAATGTGCATGCAGTGGTCTTCGTTTATGATGTCACCAAGATGACATCCTTCACCAACCTCAAAATGTGGATCCAAGAATGCAATGGGCATGCCGTGCCCCCACTAGTCCCAAAGGTGCTTGTGGGCAATAAGTGTGACTTGAGGGAACAGATCCAGGTGCCCTCCAACTTAGCCCTGAAATTTGCTGATGCCCACAACATGCTCTTATTTGAGACATCGGCCAAGGACCCCAAAGAGAGCCAGAACGTGGAGTCAATTTTCATGTGCCTGGCTTGTCGATTGAAGGCTCAGAAATCCCTGCTCTACCGTGATGCTGAGAGGCAGCAGGGGAAGGTGCAGAAACTGGAGTTCCTGCAGGAAGCTAACAGCAAAACTTCCTGTCCCTGTTGAAACCAAATGGTGTAAATACAAGATCAGTTATCACTGGAGTTTTTTCTTTCCCTTCTTTTCTGTGCCTGCATAACACTGACACCTGCTTGTTTCCATACAAATTGATATTAAAATAAAATTTGTACAGATTATCACATGCCTTCATGTCTTGCTTTCTTCCAAGAAGACATTCCTGATCTTGATGAGTGAAGAGGCAGCTCACCCTACTAGAATGATATGCCTGTGCCAAGGCACACTCCTTACCAGCTTTGTGAACCACCTAAACATCTCATTGTTTGAGTTACTTCTTTAGGACTCATTCATTCTCTCACTCAGTGTCATCAGTGGGTAGAAATACTCGGTGGGGGAGGGACACAGGCCAGATATGTTTTCTACAGCACCAATGCAGGTGGCGGATAAAGAAGTTTTGAAGGGAGATGTTGATTCATCAATGTTTCTTAAGTTCCCTGGATGTTGAGAGTAGACTTCTTGCTCTCTCCTTGTTTCTCCAAGTTTAAAATAAAACAGTATAGGTGGCTCCGTAGTCCCAGTTACTTCCAAAGTAGTTAGATCCTGCCTTCTACTTTTCACCAAGCAGTCTCTGACACCAAAAGTGGTTTTTCCCCTCCCCTTTCTCGGAGAGGGTAGGGTTCAAGCTAACAAATATCTCCTATGCCCCCAGATCATTGCTGGGTGCAATGGAGGAAATATAACAAGAGGAGGATTTGGCTTGTTCCTAATGTTCAAAGACCCTCTGATCTAGTTATGGGAACAATGTATATAATGAAACTCCTTGAGAACCAGAGTTAGACAAAAATATCAAGTGTGAGACTATGCTATGGGGAATTGAGAACATTATACTCTCAGCATCAGGGAGGGGTCGCTGAAAAGTACTTGATTCTGTTTTGTATGTTGAATAAAGTGTTATGTTTGGATTGATAAAGAGGAAGGGAGTGGTCAAAAGTAGGGAGGCAGGAGTGACCTTGGGGGCTGAGCAGGAGGACAACTGGGAGTTGGGCCTGCTGACAGCTGAGCAGCCGTAGCGGGGAGCCAAGGTTGGGGAGGCCTAGTTTTTGAGTCAATGGGAGCTTTTGGTGGCTCTATAGCAGAATCTTGTATTTCTTATACATCTGTCCTATGGACGTGAAAACCCCTTGTCCAAATGTTACAAAAACTAAAAGTGACTATAAAGCATGTCCATAGTAGCCCCAGGTAGATTTCTTTGCTTAAGGTGGCCCTGTTGTTGGAAACCCATGGGGAGAGGGTCCCAGGCTGACAACCCTGAGCATTTTCCTTTGGGAGGGGAATGTAGGTCTGCTCTCCCCCAACAGCAAATGGTAATATATGCTACATGTGCTTCCCACCCTAATACCTGTCTCAGCCTGCCTGGTTGTCCCTGCAGCCCTCTTCCTCGGCACTGGTTAATGCCCCCCACAAACTGGCCTCAGCCTTGGGCTCAGCTCAGCCTCCACTCTGGTTCTCCTCACTTGGCTTCTGCCTGGATCCCAGTCTTTGGAACCTGCTTAGTATTCCGGTTAGGGCTGGGTTTCCTTACCAGTTGCCCCCACCCAATGCCCTGCCCCTGAATCTCACCCAACGGGCTGAGAGCTGATTTGCTTGTGAACTTTCTGGTGAAACCCCTGTTGCTATGGTTCTCCCCAACGGAATAACTCTGGGCCTCATCTCAGACTTCAGGCACCTACTCCTTGCCTATTGTGGCATCTTTTGGCTCTTGCGACTTGGGTACATTTCAGTCTGTGTCCTGGGTTGCCTTGGTTAGGGCCCCTTTCTGCTGTAACAGGGTCAAAGTGAGAGCACTCCAAGTCCTCTAACCAGGATTACCTCCTCTAGACCTGGATTGCTTCTGACACCTTTCAGGCATTCAACAAACATTTACTGAGCACCTACTATGTGCCACTGTTCTAAGCTCTGGGGATACATAGGTGGACAAAATAAAGTCGTGCTTTCACAAATGAGATAGACACTACTCAAGAAATGAGATACATAAGTGAGATAATTTGAGAGAGTTATCAGGGCTCTAAAGGCCATAAAACAGGGTAAATGGGTAGAAAGTGAGGTGAGGGAGGGCAACACATCGAGTGATCACAAAAGGCATCTTTGAAGAGTAACGTTGGAACTGAGACCTGAATGAAGAAAAGCAACCAGCTATGAGGTCAGGGAGAAGAGAATTCCAAGCCGAGGAATCAGCAAATACCAAGGCCCTTAGGCAGGAGTGAGATTTGAAGGACCGAAAGGAGGCTAGTGTGGCTAAGTGAGCAAGGGATAGAATGTGGGAGATGAGGCTGAGAAGTAGGCAAAGCCAGGTCTATTGGGTTGGAGTTTTATTTAAGTGCAGTGGGAAACCAGTGGAAAATTTTAGTATCTTCCAGGCTCAGTAACCTTTGGACAGATTCAGCAGGCTTGCTGACCTGCAAAAAGGAAAAGCCCCCACTTTTCTTAGTTCCTTGAAAAGGAATAGACAGCCCTTCCTTGATGGCTTCTGAGTGTAGGCCTCAGAACAGCAACTCTATGCTGGCTGGCCCCCGCCTTAGAAACCAGACTCTTAAAACTTCTCCAGGCACTCACCAATCCGACCTGCCTCTGTCCTCTGCAGCACAAGATTGCTCTCCCTTAGGCACCTGGGGAAAGCCAAGAAGTCCTGGGGCTCCCCACTGTGGTCCCAGGAATCCTGAGAATCTCTGGGTTCCATCCAGTCTCCCAGTCCCAGAAATTCCTGCTGGCATCAGCAGGGTGGCACAAGGGTGCTCAGGCCTCCCTCAGATTGAGCAGGAGGCCTTGGGGATGGGCTGTTCCCGGAGCATACCCACAAGAAGGGGACTCCAGAGGCCAGAAGATCCGTAACTCCTTTATTGCTGTGAGGGTGGTGAGAAGCAGGGGGATTCAAGGGAAGCAGGGTGCTTCCAGGCTCCTCAATCAGCCTCACTGTATCTCTGGAACAATCCACGATGGCCAGTATCTCTCCTATGCAGCTCTTCTTCACTTCCCAGATTTATACCCTTGAGTGTTCACCTGTGCTACTGAGACAGGATCTGGAGAAATAACTACCAGCATTTGCATGCCTATATTATGTGCCAGGCCCTGTGCTAAACCACTTTACACTCTTTCACTGGCTCATTTGATGCTCCTTCAATAATGATGAGCTGTTTATAATAAGTGATAATGATTTCCATTTTATGTATAAAAATATGATTGCACTAAGAGATTTAGTGACTTGTCAAGGCAGTAAGTGGTGAAGTGAGATCTTTCTTACAAGTCTAGGCTCTTTCTGTGATATGATATGCTGATATGATATGATATGATATGATATGATATGATATGATATGATATGATATGATATTATTCTACCTTTCCAGCCAACTCCAGCTCCAGGAGCCTTGCAGGAATTGCAGGTTTATTTCCACCTGTCTGACTCACCCATGGGGGTTTGGGGAGCAGATCATTCATTATCCAGGAGGCCAGACTGGGACATTCCTCTGTGAACTGGATGCCCCTGAGCAGATCCCTGCGAGAAGCCTCAGTGGCTCACAGAAGTGTCAGCTCTGGGCCAAAGGAGTCCCTAAGCTGTGCTTGCCTTGGACGATAGCTGGGAACCACACAGCCAGCTGGACTCTGCTGCTCAGCCTTTGGGGCTATAGGATCTTATCACAGGGCGCCCCCAGAACTACACCTCCCCCATATCTGCACACTTGCTCAGGCCCCCAGATGCAGCCCGAGGACTGGCTGTGGCTGAGCTCAGTGGGACTACCTCAGCAGGATCCTCCAGTCAGGGAGCCCAAGAGCCATGCTGCCCTAAGCACCACCTAGAGCAGCATCCGGGAGGGGTGCCCCAGCCACAGTAGCTGCCGAAGCCCAGCCCCAAGTGAGGTTGATTCAGCCCAGCCTGAGTGTGTGTGGGGCAGCATGGAGGGTGTGGAGATATGCCGAGAGCTCCCTGGATAGCAAGACTCAGCCTCTCCCGCAAAGGAGAGGCAGTTGCCTATCAAGACCAGTAGTTATTCTCTTGTAATGCCTGAGAGCACAGAATTGCTGCCTCAACTTAGAGAGGGGCCCCTTCACCCCCCATCCCTCATCCCATCACTGGGAGGGGCTGGCCTAGACTCCACTGGTTTCAAAGCTTGTTCTGAGTCCAAGTGCCCTTGATTGTCCATGCCCATACGGGCTGCTCTGGGGCAGCAGAACTGACATGGGAGTCCCAGGGATTCCCCTAGATGAGCGGTTCCAAATGCTGGTTCACAGCTGAGTGCATGAAATCAGCTGACAACTTGTTAAAAGTACAAATTCCTGGTGCACCAGACCTAGACACTCTGATTTACTAGATTTGAGAGCAGGGCCCAGAAATTTGTATTTTCAAAACATCCATAGTTGAATTTGATGTATTTCCAGGACTCGACTCTGTGTGTGTGTGCGCGCGCGCGCGCGCGCGCGCGCGTGCGCTTTCTGAGAAACTTTAAAATCAGAAATGACCTTTCCCGAGCCAGAGCTTCAAAACTAGTAGTCTGGGCAACCAGGAAACAAAGACTGTTGAGGCAGATCCTTCCAGCATTCTTTCTTAGGATACATGAAACTGTTTCAGTCTTACCAAATGGCCTGGGGATGTTTGTCTGAAACAAGTAGGCAAGAGCCTCTTAACCATGAGAGACAAGTGAGGAACTAATCCGGAGTATGAGCACCTCTACAGTGTGACGGCCACTCTGGGCCCAAGATTTGGGATTGTAATAGAGATTGAGTGTCCACTGTGTGCCCCCTGCTGGTTACAATTAGTGAAGTTTACAAAGTGTTTTCCAGTAGTTTTTCTGCCCTTTTCCTGGGATGAAAGCCCATACAGAAGGAGCTAATCTGATTCCAGTCTGGGCACTTAAGAGACCTGGAACTAGAAGGGTTACTAAACAAAACAGTTTTATTGAGGTATAGTGGATATATAAAAAACTGAATATATTTATTTCATATAATTTGATGTGTTTGGACATATGCATACACCTGTGAAACCATTACTGCAATCAAGGTAATACACATATAGGTCGCCTCCAAAAGTTTCTTTGCGCCCCCTTGGGTTTGTGTATGTGTGTAAAAACACTTAAAATTTGTTAAGAGGATGAATCTCATGTTAAGGGTTACTCTT